TTCAGGAAGGTCCTTGTGCTGGGCGTCACGGTGACATGGTTGGTGTGCGGGGCTGATTGCAGGGAGACTCCCAGCTCCCAGCACTCCTTGGACCAGGTCCAGGACTACACTTGATTTGAGCCTTTACTAACAGGAGCACCAAGTCCAAGTCAGAGGAAGAATCGTGTCCCAGGTGTAGCAGGCTTGTACAATGGTTCCAAGGCTCAGCCCCACACCTGCCTGCCTTGGCCTCTCTTTTGGTCTCTTGTCTGGTGGGGCTGGGCCTTATTTTACTAGAAAAACAAACTGGCTGAACCGAAGAAAAAATGATCTTGGTTAAAGGCTGCAGTCCCCTGATTTAGATGAACTTCAGCTGGTTTGACCACCCTTGGATGAGTGGCTGTTGCTATTCCTAATTGTTTGTATTGTGTTAGCCTAGAGGAATCCAAGTCAGAAACCAGGTTGTGGGCCTGTGCATAAAAACAGAACAAAACCAGTGGTCTCTGGATGTATACTGGGCACATCTACACCAGACACTAAATGTGCAGTAGTCTAATACTACTGCTCAGTAACCTGTCAGCAAAAATCATGCTAATACGCTACCGTGCAGTAGTGTTAGGCTACTGCTCAGTTAGCATCACTAAAAAGCTGTGCATCAGTGTTATTGCACGGTAGTGCCAGTTCCTGCTCATTGATTTAGTACTTGGTTATATAACTACCAAACTTAATGCACAGTAACTATGGTGCATTAATGCACGTGCAGACACGCCCACTGATTGCTTGTATTTCTGATTTTTCAAGTGGTGAAGTTGAGCCAGTGCTGTCTTCTACTACAGGCAGATCCTGACACTCTAAGGACACTCACCAGATAACCACCCTTGCATAAGCAACCTGTCTGTTCCCCGCATGCCAGTCCCATCTGTCACTGAAACATCAGGCAGTCCTGAGCAGGGCACACCTGGCTTTGCAGAACTACTTTTCTAAACTGGACAGGCTTAAAGTGCATATACCAGATGTGGCTCAGCACACTAAACACAGTTTGCTTCTCCAGCTGGGACAGTTGCAAGGAGTGTAAAATGGTACTTGTGTCCTGATGGCTGTGCAAGTTAAAACGCAGTCTCAAAGACAGAAACAGCCGGGGGGGGGGGAAGAAAAGAAAAGCCTTATTTGATATAAAACAGTGGAATGGGTGCCTGTATTGCTCACTCTTGCAATTGTATTGTAAGTTGTACAATACTTTAAAAAAAAGCCTCAGTTCCTGGAGACATGAGTGGCAGTCTGCATTTGTTTTTCAAGTAAGTTGCTAGAACATGTGGTTGCAGAGAGAAGCTGGAAAACACAAACCAACTGCTACCTAAAAGCTGATAAAAAAATCCCATATTTTTTTAAGCCAGTCTCATGATTATCTTTTTTTTTGGCTTTACACACAATGTTTGAACACTTGGAGTTGGCAGTGCTGAGATATTCTGGGCATGACACACTGAACACAGACCATAACACTAGGGACGTTTGGCTCTGAAACGAACTGAAACTATGGGCCGTGGGCAAGTCATGTGAATTTCTCTGCCCTGGGACTGTTCATTGTTAAGAGTGGGAGGGGAATGGAGAAATAAGAAAATGTTCTGGATTTTTTTCCCCTTCACCCTCCCCCTAACCCCCCATGTGTTGCCTTATGAAGGTCACTTCATGCTTGTAAAACACTATTATGATGAAGATATAGTTGCCTCAGGAATACCCATAGGGGAAGCTTCAGCAGCTTAGACCCAAACTGGTGTGCGTGGGTGAAAAAACACTCAGCTACTTCAAAACCAGGCCAGTTGAATTCTCCCCACCCCCATTGTATTGGCTTTTCACTCTTTAAAGGATTTTGTCCAAACAAGTTGTGTGCTACATGGATCCCTGCGAAGTCATGCAGAAATACAATCCCACTGATAGGGAAATTATGATCTCTTGCCTACCAAACTGAGGGGACCCTCGTTAGACTGCAGGGTAAAATGCCTGTGGCCCCCATAGGCTTCAATTCAAAGGTCCAGCCATTCCAAAGTTCAAGCCATTCACCGACAGCTAGCAGCATCTCCAGGGGGTGCTCGTCGTCCCAGGGGGATGAGATGATTCCTATGTCCCTGGAGAAATTCCCCACCCACATCCAATCATTCTGATAAAGGAAATGGCTTGGGATGGGACCAAGAACTGGGAAGGAATGGAGAGTGGTCCAGGGTCACTCTTACCCTCTTTGTACCTGGGGGGGCGGGGAAGACACGCGTGAGCTGTGATTCCAGGAGCACAGAAATGTTGCAGAAATCAAACTGGCTTTGCCCCTGCTGGGATGTTCCCCCCGAGGGAGAGTCTCAAAGCCACTTCCTCCCCCAAGTCCTTTCTCCCTGAGGGGAGGAAGCCACATGTGACCACGATCCGTCTAGCCCCCAGACGCTGTTCCTTAGCTGGCTGGCAAAAGGTGCACTGGCATGGAGGGGTTCCTTCTTCCTCCCCCGCCGCCCCCCAACACATGTTAAACTATGAAACGAATGAAACTAGTAGGTAGTCAGTTTTAAAGCTAACAAAAGTAAGTTCTTGTTCACACAGTGTGGAATTAAAGTGTGAAACTCATTGCTGCCAGACACTGAGAAAGCTGGCAGCTCCACTAGATTCAAAAAGGGATTGGACACATTCTTGGAGGAAAGGGGCATCGGGAGCTATTGAGCATGGGAGTTAGGGGTATGGAACTTCTTAGACCTTAATTCGTTTGTATCTTGTTGAAGGACTAATCAGTTCCAATTCAGTTGTGCAAAGCCCAATAGTCAAGTTCCAACATTTGACTGAGCGGAGCTCAATCCATAAATCTGTGTGGCTCCTCCCTCCCAAACCCGTCTGTCTGGGGCTTCGGACACTCCCCAAATCCAGAAAGGTATCCTACATGCAAGCCCCAGGCCCAAAAGCCTTGGGGTTTAGATGTCCTAGACCTTAAACACTGTCCCAGACCTAGCTGTCCTAGACTTTAAACTGATTGGGGGGGGGAGTGTCTGGCTTGATCTTAGCATTTAAGGTCTGGGATAGTGGTCCCAAACTGTGGGTTGTGACCCCAAATGGGGTGGCAACATCAGTGGGGTGTCCACATCCGAGGATGGGGTTGCTGCGGGTTGGGAGTGAGAGGCCGTGCTGAGGAAATCGGGCTGTAAATGGGGTCATGCTCGGGAAAAGTTTGGAAGCTGCAAGCGAGATGTGCAGCAGGGGGGAGAAAACCTCAGACCCCTTTTCAGCACCCGCCGCGTGACACGGGGGCAAGACGGACCTGACCAAGTCAGTGGCGAGCCTTGCGTGGCCACCGAGAGAGCCCGTGGGGACTGACACCCGCCACACAACAAGGAGGCGCCCACATGCAACCCCCAGCTCCCCTCGGGGCGCTTTCCTTGTTCTCCTGCCCTCCGCCTGCCTCCCCCCGCCCCGGGTCAACACGTAACTCGGGCTCCCGCGCCCGGGTCCCCCCAGAGAGGAGGAGCAGGACAGGAGGAGGGGGTCAGAGCTTCCCTTCAGCCCGGGGCAGGGGTAAAGCAAAGCAAAGCATCCCCCCCCTCCCTGCCCCTAGCACAGCAGCTCGGGCCACCTTAACAGGGGCTGTCCGGGAGAGGCCGGGCGGGCAGATGGGGCGGCGCCCCGCGCTGGAGCCAATGGCTCCGCGGCGCTGTTTAAATAGACTGGGAATGTCAATCATTTTCTTCTTCGTCAGCCTCCCTTCAATCGCCATATTGGGCAAGCGAGAAGAGGGCTCGTCTTTTTCTTGTTTTTTTTCGCCTTTCTTTTGAACCCCCCCTCCTCCCCCCGTT